GACGTTGCCGGCCCACCACCTGCTCTAAGGTGACCAAGCAGGATCACTATGCTGAGGTTCAATCAAGTTCTTAGGGGATCTTACTCTCTAGCAGGGTCATGTCTTATTTTTAATTACTTTAAACAGCAGACACTTTTTAATTTTTTTTAGAAATTCTGTAAGCATAACATGTACCATGCATTGTAACCTTTGACATATTTCTTTCTATGGGGAGAGAGTGTAGCAAACTTGCTGAAAACTACATTGCTGTCACAGTTATTAACTCTAACTTGTTTTCCAAGAAAAAGGAAAAGCATTAAAGTTAAATGTACCTCAGAGCATTTAATGGGAAATTGAACAAGAGTCTTCCAAAAGTACACTAGGAAGATCCTTCTCAAAGTAAGAGTTTGTTTCTGAGAAAGAATTTTTTTCAAGTAGTGGATATTGGTTCACAATGTTGTTTTAGAATGCATCAACTTCACAATTGTTGCTACACTTGAGTCTATTGCAGCTGCCACTGTGTCAATCCATCTCATTGGGGATTTCTCTATTTTTTGCTGACCCTCCATTTACCATAAATGATGTCATTCTCTAGGGACTGAATCCTCCTGATAATATGACCTAAAAAATGAGAAATGAAGTCAGGCCATACTGGCTTCTAAGGAACATTCTGCATGTACTTCTTCCAACACATATTTATTGGTTCTTCTGGCAGTCCTTGGTACATCAGTTCTTCTACAGTCTTCCTTACTCATTGTCCAACATTCACATACATATGAGGCTATTGAAAATACCACAGCTTCAGTCAGGTGGGCCTTAGTATTCAAACTGACATCTCTACTCTTAAACAATTTAATTAGTTCTTGTGCAGCAGATTTGTCTAATGCAATCCATCATTTAATTTCTTGACTGCTGCTTCCATGTGTGTGGATGGTGAATCCAAGCAGAACGAAATCTTTGAAAATATCAATCTTTTCTCTGTTTATCACAATGTTATTGATTGGCCCAATGGAGAGGATTTTTGTTTTCTTTCCATTAAGATGCAAGCCATAAAGAAGACTGTGGACTTTGACTTTCATCCATATGTATTTTAAGTCCTCTTTGCTTTCAGCAAAAAAGGTTGTATCACCTGCATATCACAAGCTGTTAAAAAAGTGGAAATCATTAGATATCTTTGATCATCATCAGATATCCCATGCGAGTAAAGTTTTACTAAAGGTAATACAGAAGTGGCTGCAACCATACATAGACAGAGAACTTCCAGAGATTCAAACCTGATTCAGAAGAGGAAGTGGAATAAGGGATATCATTGCTGATGGCAGATGGATCTTAGTCGAAAGCAGAGAATATCAGAAAGATGTTTACCTGTGCATCATTGACTATGCAAAGGTCTTCAATTGTGTGGATCTTGACAATCTATGGGCAACATTGTGAAGTATGAGTGTTCCGGAATACTTTATTGTGCTCATGAGAAACCTATACATAGACCAAGAGGCAGTTGTTGGAACAGAACATTGGAATACTGAATGGTATAAAATTAGGAAAGGTGTGCAAAAGGATTGTATTTTTTCACAAAACTTATTCAACCTTTATGCTGAGCAAATAATCTGGAAGCTGGGTTATATGAAGGAAAATGTGGCATCAGGATTGGAGGAAGACTCATTAACAACCTGTGATATGTAAATAATATTACCTTGTTTGCTGAAAATGAAGAGGACTTAAAATACTTACTGATTTAA